CGTGTGAACGTTGCTTCGTCTCTTCTGTCGCGTAATGCGCATGAATCAATTTTGGACAGAATTGTCACTGATGATGAAAAATGGATTCTCTATGCGAATATTAAACGCCAAAAATAATGACTCACTCCTAGACAAAAACCACTTCCGACCCCAAAACCTGGACTCCGTCCGTAGAAAGTGATGCTTCGCATTTGGTGGGACATCAAAGGAGTAATTGATTTGGAACTCCTCAATCCAAAGCGAACTGTCAATCCAAAGATCTATAGTCAGCAACTGGAACGTTTAAATCAAGCCCTTCATCACAAACGCCTTTCACTCGTCAATCGGAAAGGTGTTCTTCTTCTCCACGACAATGCACGTCCACATGTGGCACGTTTGACACAACACAAGATTATGGAGTTGGGTTGGGAAGTTCTCCCCCACCAACCATATTCTCCAGATATGGCACCATCAGATTACCATCTTTTTTGTTCTCTGCAACACCATCTTAATGGGAAAATGTATGGAAATGTGGAAGGTGTCAAAGAGGTCATAGATATGTTTTTTGTTTGAAAGCCAAGTGATTTCTTTAATCAGGGCATTAACAACCTGATTGTAAGATGGAAAAGCATCATCGATAGGAATGGAGACTTTTTCATTAAATAAATGTTTTATTTTGATATATAAGTTGTTAGGGTTTTTCATTTTAAAAAAAGGCGACATTAATTTCTTGACGACCTAATAGAATAATGGCCAGGTGGTTAGGGAGCACCAGCTATCTCAATGTAAGAAGTAAAACGCTTTGGGGGCGTTATAATGTGACGGTAATTACCACTATTTGAAATTTGGAACTTTATAGTGTGACCTGCCCAAAGGGAAAGCTGTTGAAGAGAGGGTAATTTCTAGCAGAGAATTGTTGATCCTTCTTTATATAAAATAGCCCCAAATATTACTGGCCTCTCCCACTAACTGGACAAAAAAAAATGGTGTTTGCTGGTTGCTACTGATTACTTCATCAAAGACCCGGCATGGCCAGGTGGTTAGGGAGCTCGACTCGCAATCTGCGGGTTCGAATCCCAGTCCCACCAAACATGCTCGCCCTTTCAGCCGTGGGGGCGTTATAATATGTCGGTCAATCCCACTATTCGTTGGTAAAAGAGTATTCCAAGAGTTGGCGGTGGGTGGTGATGACTAGATGCCTTCCCTGTCGTCTTACACTGCTAAAATAGGGATGGCTAGCGCAAATAGCCCTCGTGTAGCTTTGCGCAAAATTCAAAAAACAAATAAACAAACCTAATAGAATAAAATGTTTACTATCAACACACTACATGTTGGCCAAATATGATGTAAGAGGTGTTAAACGATGATTTAGTTTGTAATTTCTCAAGAAATATGTAGCTTTTATTCCTATCCATTAGAAAATTATTTCGTCATACGTTATTTTAATATTTACTGCGAACATTGTTTTACATTCTTTTCTACCAAAACTAAAGTTTTCCTATTTATTAAATTTTCATTTAAGATACTGATCGGAGAAAGCCTTGGCTTTTTTATGGTCAAGCATCAAATACTGTTAACGATAACATCAACAATCAATTTCTTTATGGTCATTTACCGTTTACAGTAATATCTGTTATAATAATACTCAGTTTTTGTCTGTCCTGAAAATGCGCGCGCACTTAATTTCAACGGATGTAAACAAAAGGCGGATATAAATATACTTTAGTAGAGGTTTTGTACAACAACATATTAAAAGCTTATCTAAGTTTTTAAAAGGGTCTTGGAATAACATTTTAAGTTTATTTATTGATAGTATTAAGTACGGTAAAGTTTAGCCCTAACTAAAGTAAAGCAAAAAACGTCCACAAGTTACAGTGTTAATTTATCTCTTTATCAAATATAGGCCGTACATAATAAAGGCTTGACTAATTTTAGGCGTAAGACAAGTGGACTTATTTATATTTCGGTGTCTGCGTTTAGAATTATTTTGTATTATTCTAGTAACCCTTTATTTAAAAAGAACTATTACAATAAAAATACTGATTGGACCGCAAATTGATTGGACCATCAACACCTGTTCTCCTGATAAGTTTCAAAGTGTTAAATGTTATACTTTATGTTATGCTTGCGAAATTTTAACATTTTATGTATGGTTACCAATAAACGGCTGGTATTCCACAGCTGGCCTCCAAAACCATGGTTTTTCACTTGCAACATCTCTGTACTTAAAGGTTGTTTAAAGATAGATCAATTTGGTGAACCTGCTTGTATTAAAAGAGTGAATTATACTATTTTATAAGCTAAGTGTTGGGAAAGTTGCCTTTTATTCTCGAAGTGGCATTTTCCTTGGTTACTTGGTTAATTAAACAAATCTAAGTCACCAACAGGGACTGGCCAGTGTCTTTTTGATCATTATAATTAAGTGTCCCTCTGCAAAACAAAAGTTTGGAATCAGTGGTATATAAAGTTTGATTATACTCTTTACGACAGCTGTGTCTTATTAAACTGTTTCTAAACAACAAATTATATTAAAAAAAGGTAAGTTAAGTCTTAATAACTTTTTTTTCTCATATACTATAATTCAAAAAATATCAATATTTTAAATAATTTTGAGTTACTTGAGACTACTGTAGTTAGTTATTTTGTTAATACTAGGCTGAGCTTGCGATAGTTGTTTGACCGTTGCGGTTGCTATTCTCGTGTCGAGCAGCGATTTACATTAAAATAATAAACAATAAAATGCATAAAAGAATAGCTTAGGTTGCTGCCTACCTGTAGTTTGTGTTCGAAATTATAGATGGCGCCACGCTACCTGGACTGCATAATTGGAGAGCCTGTGCTCCTCGGGCATGTAATCATAACTTACAACTACAACTATAACAAACTGAAATCTGCCCCACACAGTAGACAACTTGTAACTAAAATCACAACAGTAACGTATGTTGGGTCAACAGACTGAAAACTGCCTCACACAGTAGACAACTTGTAACTAACATCACAACAGTAACGTATGTTGGGTCAACAGACTGAAAACTGCCTCACACAGTAGACAACTTGTAACTAAAATCACAACAGTAACGTATGTTGGGTCAACAGACTGAAAACTGCCTCACACAGTAGACAACTTGTAACTAACATCACAACAGTAATGTATGTTGGTTCAACAAACTGAAAACTGCCCCACACAGTAAACAATTTGTAACTAACATCACAACAGTAACGTATGTTGGGTTAACAAACTGCCTCACACAGTAAACAACCTGTAAATAAAATTACAATAGTTAGGTATGTTGGGTCAACAGACTGAAAACTGCCTCACACAGTAGACAACCTGTAAATAAAATCACAACAGTAACGTATGTTGGGTCAACAAACTGAAAACTGCCTCACACAGTAAACAACTTGTAACTAAAATCACAACAGTAACGTATGTTGGGTTAACAAACTGAAAACTGCCTCACACAGTAAACAACCTGTAAATAAAATCACAACATTAACGTATGTTGGGTCAACAAACTGAAAACTGCCACACGTGATAGGTGACTTAAAATATTTGGTTCATTTCGGATATTATCGCAAAGCTACACAATAGGTGTTTGCTTTAGTCTTCCCTAATTTTGAACTGGTAGACTAGAGCAGTGGTTGTCAATCTATAGTTCGGCGCTTTCTTCTGATTCGACAGTCGAATGGTTGCATATTTGCGGAAAGAAAGCGGCAGAATAATGGTCTGCCAAGGTACAATTTTAATCAGGTGGTCAGCGAAAATTACAGGACTAGAGAGAAGGCAGTACCCTCCACCATTTGTTAGACTGCTCTCGAATAGTGGGACATGACAGTCAGTCACCCTTATAATTTATAACGCGCCCACAGCTGGAGCGCGATATTCTTTTATGCAGCAACCACCAGGTCACGACCTAAAAGAAAGTTCATTTCAACCTGTAAAGAAACAATAAAACTTCCCAAGTATACTTTTGTCAACATAGAAGCTTACAAAACCCACTGAAATTGTACAATAAACATCTTTATTCATAAGGTGATATGAGTTTTCTGTGTGTAACATTAGCAGGATATAGTATTATACAATGATGCTACAAAGCTCCCCCATGGATTTAATCGCGTGCACAACAGCATGATTTCCTGCCATATTTTACGACAGACATCTGACGACTTTCGATTTTTTTTTCTTTCGGTTAGGTAGGTAGAGTAGAACGTACTAGGGTATATTGATCTGATGTACGAATCTTGCACTTGAAACCGCTGGTGAATAACCGTACATCAGTAGTGTATTCTCTGTTATTTTACAATATCTTTATGTAGTTTTTGTAAGTGGAAGAGACTGCTATAAAATCTGAAGTGTACGTTAAAAACCTCACAGATACCAGAGTTTATTATCTTCGCGTTGATTTCTTCGAAAGGGGTTCGAATGCCGCTTGGAGTGGTCACCTGTTTTAACCACTGGCACCACTATACAGTAATGTGTTGTCTGTCAGTCACTCACTAGATATTAAAATGGCGTCACATAAGTGACGCTTAACAATTTGTACTGTTGTCACGTCAGTAAAACGTGCACGTGCCGTGAATCACGAAAAGAATTATGCACTCTGCAGGCTACAATACAGCATGACATATAAGCTTCAAAAGCAAGAAATAAACGTGTTTGTTACTCTTAATTTTGGTTTTATTTACTCTTGAAACAGAACACTTTCGGGGACCCTGCGGAAGTACACCTAGTAAATATACAGGTTTTATATATACATGTTTCTCGGGGATCTTAATAAGCTCCGCCCACCTCTTTGTATTTGTTTTGGATTCGACATTATTCCTTAAGTCTCATTACACTAGATATATATATATATAAATAAGAACGTTTGAGTATACTTTAATGCAAATTTTTCGTTCCTTTTTAACTTATTTCTTTGTTGTTCTTTAATAATGAGGAATAAAATTAGATTAAAAATTTGTGGCTGCGTTGTTTGTATATAACGTGTTTTTTTTTGTTGTTGTTGTTGTTTGTATTTTAGGTTATTTACACTTTGAATACCCGGCTGGATGACCAAGATGTTTTGATTCAGTCTCTTAAAGAAGCCCATGAGGAACGAATACAACAACTGATGACAGAAACTCGATACAGGATCTCTTACTACAAAGCAAAGGTTTTAAAGCCATTCGTCACTGCTAGAATATTTAGTTTAAACCCTTACTGTTATTTAATAATGTATAATATTATTATCAATAACACGATTTTATATGGGTAAAATTTTACAAGACCTCCACGAGGCAAGTGAAATTATGTTGTTTGATTGTAAAGTGATGATTTGAACTCATTGTGTGTGTGTGTGTGTATACGTCACGATTTTTCGTACCGTTGTTACACAAATTATCACAAACTTTCATCACTCGGATCACTCCCTTCTTCCGGTGAAAATAATGCGGATAACTTATGTGTCAAGACCAGTGGTTTGGATATTTGTCCAAAGCTACACAATGGGCATCTCTGCTCTAACCATTGCGGCTATCGACACCAGATTGCTAACGTTAGAAGCACTGGTAACACAAGCCTACGATGGTTTTATTGTCTTGACATTTTTACATGTTTTACAGTAATTCCTCTACGCTGAATCCGAAAATGATATTCATTTTTCTCCATCAGGTACTAATTTTTCACAAAACATCGTAACGCAATACACAAAAGAGAGACCACAACATGTAGTTTTGAGACTAAAAGACGTATATTTCACACAAAGAAATCAGGATGAATGATGATGCATATTCGTTTGACATCAATGTTCTTTCCTTTTCTTCAGTTTGTTTGCATTTTTGTTAACAAACATAATAATAATAAATTTTCTTTGTGGTAAGCGAAATGATACGTTGGTCTAAGTAAGAGGTTTTTTACTCCCGATTTATAAAAAATCCTTACGCGATAGAAAAAATTATTATTGTTTTCGAAATCTGCGTAGCTGAATTATGGGAAATCCGTTATTAAAACCAAAAAACTGTTATGAATTTCAAATTCTCAGGTCTGTGTAAAAAACGCCACTGCGGGTATCGACACCAGATTGTTAACGTTATAAACCCTGATAATTATCGCTTAACCACCGGAGGGGAGGATTAAGTGGAAAACGTAATGAGTGATAGAATAATAATAAGTGGATTTACGTATTGCAGAAATAAATTCAATAATTAAAATTCCCAACGATTTTTAAACTGATATTTATTACAAAAATAAACTATCCACAAATATTTAATGGAATAAGTGCAAGCTTAAATATGTTAATAATAGCAACCAGTAAGGTCGAAAATATAACTGCTAAGTATACCTGTAAATGTCGTAGGCTGAATTTCACCAAGCAACATTCATAACAATACAGATATAAGTAATAAGTCACAAGATGTATTTGTTCTGTATTTCCGATTGTAAACTGAAAAAACAATTAAAATTGAAGTCTTGTCATATCTATCAAGAAGTGCTGTGTCGATGTTTCACACTATGAGATAACTAAAATCTGGCTAAGAAAAAGTGCACGTTTATCCGATGTTTTCTACTACAAAAAGGCCCGGCATGGCCGGGTGGTTAGGGCGCTTGTCTCACAACCTGCGGGTCGCGGGTTCGAATTCCCGTTACACCGAACATGCTCGCCCTTTCAGCCGTAGGTGCGTTATAAGGTGACGGTCAATCCCACTATTCATTGGTAAAAAAGAGTAGCCCAAGAGCTGGCGGTAGGTGGTGATAACTAGCTGCCTTCCCTGCTAAATTAGGGACGGCTAGCGTAGAAAGCCCTCGTGTAGTTTTGCGTGAAGTTCATAACAAACAAACAAACCTACTACAAATCCTTTTATATAGAGTAAGAAAAAGTGCACGTTTATTTGATGTTTTCTTCTACAAAGTACGTAAAATCTGGCTATATCCGAGGTGAGTCCGTTTATTATGAGGGGAGAATAAATGTGGACTGCAACAGCTTTTTTGAAAACTTGTTTGAAATATGCATGATTATACCTAACCAGTAACAGTGACCAGTTGGAGACACTTCAAAATTCTGCTGCATAGTTACACACCTACAATCCTACTCAGTTTTGATGTCTTTGGATTATATCAAGCTATCCATTTTTAATAGAGTATTGAAAATTTAGTCGGATTTCATTGTCTTTACCAGAAATAATAATTAACGTAGCACACATCTCTATAGATCACTCGATGAACACCATTTCCGTTTTGGAAATGATATTTACAAAAAATATAAGAGAATTACACATTAGCTGAATATTGGCAGTTCTTTGCGTGCATACCATAGAAACAGAAGCTTTCAAATTCTGGCATAGCCAGATGGTTAGGGTGTTGGACTCGTAACCTGTGGGTCACCGGATCGAAACCCGTCACCAAATATGCTCGCCCTTTCAGCGGTGAAGGCGCTTAATGTGACGGTCAATTTCACTATTCGTTGGTAAAAGAGTAGCCCAATTTCGATGACGAGGAACCCACTTTGAGACTAATAATGGCTGGAGACGGCTTGAATGGGTAATGAAGAAAAACTTTAATATAAGTTTAACGTGATGATGACAAAACCTTGTCGAAACGTTGTACATTTGCTGTTATGTTAAACTTATATTAAAGTTTTTCTTCATTACCCATTCGAGTAGCCCAATATTTAGCGGTGGGTGGTGTTGGCTATCTACATTTCCTGTAGTATATCCTTTCAAAATTACAGACACCTGGAGTAGCTTTACTCGAAAATTAAACAAACAGAGGGTGTCGACATACGGAAAGAACAAACAGACTTTGCTCCACAAATATGGTATCTAGAATGAATCTCGAAAACTAAAACACATTATTAACACAACACTAGAATATTCTGGAGAAAACAGAAGCTTGCAGTTTTTAAATGTAACTCTTACTATCAAAGGACAGAAAAATGATAGACATACAACTAACTTTGCAAAAAAACGTCTTTTTTTTACATTATGAAACGAGATACTTTAATTGGGGAACTCAAAAGGATAAACTTTTCCAGTTAAGAAGCTATCGTTGAAGTCTTTAAACATCTTGAAATGTTCCATTTCTAGAATTACTATCTTAAACAGTTGACATATTCTGTTTTAAGATAATACTAAAACGATAATCCTGAATCTTACAAAAGAATATCAGATATAACGACTCTTGTTATTCCATGTATCTGTGACATGTCTGTTCCCCAGGTGGATGACACAAAATAAAACAACTGCATGGTAAAACCATTATCTGCACGTGTGCGCTAGGCCATGCAGGGGTAAAGCTAAACAAGGAAGCTAACAGTTTCACAAGAGAAACCCCTATATCAAATCTCCTGTTTTTTGTTGTTGTTTTTCTCTTTCACAGCTATAGCAGAGCTTCGAAACGTATATGACGATATGGGTCATCTACTCACAAAATCGTTGTTCATTTCATAAAGTGTTTAGTAATCACAAAAATCTATATTGACAGTCACAGGCAATGCCTCTTTGAACGGCAACATATAGAATCAGAATCACTGCGAAGTTGAAACTGACGAAATAGTTAAGGTCTTAACGATGACCCTCAAAATATGCATTGTTGCTTTTAGGCCTCCCTCTCTCTGCTTCTTAACTAATGTAGTTTTGAAAGTTTGGATATCAACAAATTACCTTTTTTTAAACCGCTTTCCATGTTTTTATAACACGCACTTAGATGACAGAGTAGAAAAAGTAAAATATTTGGATCGATTTCACAAGATCTGAAGTGATGAAGAGACTGTTGGGCAGTCGCAGAACAACTAAGTGTTGAGAGAAGCAATAAGAGAAAAAAATCACCTTGTAGCGTAAATACGTGCTTCGCGTATTTTAAATTTTGCTGTCTATAACACACGCACTAAAAGCTTTGAATCAAGCGAAATATGCGCTCAGTTATTTTTCAAAAAGCATTGGAAGAAGGTCGAAACATAGCAGAATAATCGTGCCTGCTATATAGATATATCTTTTGTAAACAGGAGAGAATATCTCCCAGGAAATGTTGGCTGTTATCTTGTAGTTAGCCTGCCTGACTATGAATCTGAAGATCAGTGGCTCGCGTCCCGTTAGCGCCATATCACACTTCTCACTTTGGAACCGTGGGTGCGTTATAACAGTAACGATCAAATCCCACTTTTCGATTAGAATAGCCCAAGAGTTAAAAATATAGATTGCTGTTCATTTACATTTTGTAAGGTTTCAGTATGCACCAAAATCATGTTGCATTTGTCTGCCATGTTTTACCTACATTTCCCAATATGTTTAGCAAGGAGTTGTTAAAGATCTCTGATGTCTTCATGTAATCTTATTGGTCAGTTTCTTTCCTGTTGTCTTTTCATCATTACAATGAAGTGTTTTTTTCTTTCTTACGAAATAATCTTCTACAAGCCATTTCGAAATACAATCATTGGTCCATATAACGGATGACGATCTCACTTGTAGGCCATTCAGTGGGATTTTATTTAACCGAAAGACCCAACTTAAATCTATGCTTGTTTCGGCTTTAATGCATGTCTTGTGGTAATCTAACCTTTTCATCCTTTCAGCCTGTGATCAAATCATGAAAACCTCGCTCACCAAGCAAGTGCTCTACCAACTGAGCTAAAGGGTTAATTGCACTTTTGCACAGCTCAAACTATCACATTGTCATTAATTAGTACAAATGTTTCTTGCTTAAATAATGTGAAGAGAAGATCAGTAAATCGTCTATATGTACCACTATAATCTTTGGCGGATACAACATCGCATTCATTATATGGAATGCTTTTTATTTCATTTGTGCATCTCTTTATAAGTACACTAAGTTCATTAAAATGCTCTCCTTCGTTGGAATATGCCACAGATAGTTCACAGTGTTAAAATGTTTCCTTCCTACTAAGCGTTTTCAACTCACTCGGCAGGGTGTAAGTTAGGTTAATTTTGTAGTTGAATTGTTTGAAGACAGATGCAACAGGAACTACTATACAGTTAACGCAGCAGTGGGTGGTTGTGATTTGTGTAATTTGTGCAAACGTTGCCACATGCTATTAAACAGTCCTGTGTTTTTCACTTTGTTCCCTAAGTTTGGAGTGAAATTATTAAACGTGAATTTAATTTTTCTTTCTTCTGCCCCTGATTAATTGCCAATTGATTTTACCATGTCAAAAATCTGTACAAATAAGTTAAAATGTAAATTTCTCTTAAATAAACTCTTTACAACTTTCTAAATACCTTATGGATTTTGATTTTAATATCCTTCAGTTTTGCTTGCCTAATGAATTTGGGTAATGGAGTAAACAAATTCATAAAAACATGAATTGTAGTTTTGTGTGAGCGCCATCTATTGACAAATATAAATAACGATTCATAAGGTTTATTAATTGTACAAAAACTATCCAATCTGTATATATGTACCACATATTAATTATATGAAAACACATAATGAAACTTCTTTCAGAGCTTAATTTTTTGAATACATGTTTTAATAATTGATATTGAACCAAATAAAATAGTTTATTTTTTGACATCTCTTGATTTCCTTTTTTATTTAAAATAACAAAACTTTATTAAAATAAAATTCTTTTTTATCTTTGTTATATGCAGGCAAATCATGAAGGAGAACTTCGAGGTAAAGTTAAGGAGTTGGAAACTCTTCTAAAAGAAGAAAAGTGCAAGAAAGCTGATGTAGAAGAACAACTCCACCTACTAGAGGAGAAACAATTGGCAAGAGAACAAGAGGAGGGTGAAACTTCTCAGAAACTTGCTCGATTATCTCAGGAATTTGAAGATGCTAAAAACGATCTGCAGGTTAAACTGAAAGAATATGAGATTCTTCATCAGGAACTCTTACGTGAAAAAGACTCTTCTCTTGGAATGTTACATAACCAGTATGAAAAGGATATGCAGAACATTGTCCATGACCAAAATAAACACTTTGAATCGGTAAACAACAATATTGTAAGCGAATTAGATAAAGCCTACGAAAATATTAAAGACTTGAAAGATCAGTGTGAACAACTGAAATTTGAAAATGTTCAAATAAAACAAGATTTTGAGCTAGAACTTACAAAACAGCTCGATGATTTACAGTCTGAAAAGGAAGAACTTAAATGTTATTTTGAATCAAATATAAAAAAATTAAAATCATACTATCAAGAGGAATTAGGAAAATTAAGCAAGGAAGAAAATCTAATTAAAACTCAGTCTTTTGTTAAGTGGGAGCAGGAAACCTTGGACAAACAAAAACAACTTGAATCAGGAATTGATGAATTGCTACATAAGCTAGAAGAAAATGAAAAACAAACAGAAAAGTAAGATTTTGCTCTTTTCTATAGAGAGTTACTATTAACTAGTAATTTGAATTGTTTCATAATATTAGTTCTATAATTATAACTCTGTGTGTTATGTGTTTCAGTAGAAACTGTTCGTATATACAATAGTGTTTTTCTTCAATCTTGTTATTCTGCCTTTAAATATTTTGCTTACTAAAGTGTGAATTTAAATCATTTATCTAATCTATGTACAAAATTATAATTCCTTTGTTATTTTCAAACATAAATCTGTTAATTTTTCAACAGTGAATGAAATTGTATGTTTTCATTGATGTGTAGGTTTATCTGATGATTACCTCGATAAAAGCCATCATGATTTTCTCTTTCATATCTGTTGGATTGAGAAAAGTAAATGTGTGTTTGATGTTTTATGTATAGCTATTTTAGTTAGTTACTGTTATCCTTTACACATGAAGAAGACAGGTCAGTTGCCAATAGTTTAAAATTTTGTACAATTTGTTTTTAAGAGGTTTATGTAAAAGAAACGCTGTCCTAATTTTTAAGCCCTAAAGACAAATATAAATTATAGAAGGCATCCTCAGTCTTCTTGCCATTGTAGTCTTGGAAAGATAAATTGATATATTCCTTCTATCACATTTGTTGTAGAAATTTATATTTAAGTACATATTATACTGATTAAAACCATTGAGAAAAATATATATAAATTAACCATTTTAAAATAAAAGACTTAAAATAATGTTTTTTTTTTACATTGTATAGAGTCACTTAATTATATTAATACTTGCGTACAGTCTAATTAACATGACATATATATTTATTGACATTGATTTCTGCCATTTGTTGGGTATAGCAAATGGAATAGGCTGGAAATAGAAGACAGTTTACAATAGGAAACTATTGAAAATTTATGTTTTAGCTTTTATGTTGATTAATTATAAACCTTAGGACATTTTGTTTGGTATTTTATAAAGATATTCATTTATTTTAATAGATTTTATAGTTTTACACTGTTACTAGACGTTGACCAAGAACAAATTAATCTAATGTCTTTGATAGATTTTTTTAACTGTAAGTTAGATAAAATATTGAGGGTGTAATTTGTGTCTGATACCATGTATATATACATAGGTAAAGATACATAATTTTCAGTTTTATCTTTGTAGTTATATTGCTGAAAACAATCAATTGAAAGAAAAAATTGAAAGCAAAGTAAAACACATTAAACTTCTGGAGGATCAGGTAAATATTTTACAAAATAACTCATTTTATTGATTTAATTGAGCTTATCCAAACTAAATATGTAACTCTTGTGCAATTCATTTCAAATTGTCACTCACATTTGTAATTTACTTTTTTTCATTTAACATAAAATTGCTTTTTTTTACACATTGCATTGTAAGATTATAATTTGTATTTGGTTTAAGAAAATATTTACTGTTTGAAGTGACTACATATGCTGTATGGATTGTAATTATGCTTTGAAAAACTGTATGTTATCAATTTAACAGCAAAATATTTGTTTAAAAATGTATGTGTATCACATCTTTGACAAACTATAAGAACAAAAAGTTTATTAGCAAGATTTATTCAAAATACATAATAGCATTTTAGAAAACAAGTAACTAAAGGTGTTATTTTTCCAAAGACTCTATTATACTGATATAACTTACATTTAGATTTCTCACCTGTTGTTTAATATTATATTTATTGTGAAGATGTGTTGTTATTACCTGGTTAGGTATCACAAAAAAGTTTATTTGTTCTACAGAATTACAAACATATTTTTATAATTGAATATTACTTCTTAGATGACAAAAAGCAAAGAGGAGCTACTGAAACTTACACCTCGACTAAAACACTCAGAAGCAGCATTAAATCAACTGAAAAATTCCTGCACAACACACACACAGGACTTGTTGGCCAAAACACGTAAGTAGAATACCCTTTTTAGATTTATTATCATTCATGGTCTTTTTTATTGTCCAATGTATGTAGAAACATTCTACAGATCAGGGTTAATAAGTTCTTGGACATTTTAGTATTTTAAGTCCTTTATAATAAATTAAACTATGTATATATACATCTAATATAGTTAGAAAATAATGCTAATCTAAAGTAGCACCAGAAATTTTCTACTATTCTTTACAAATAGTTTTAATCCCTGACATATGCTTAGAAGTCACCATACCATTGAATTAGTAACACCATTTCTTCTGGATTAAACATAATAGCCTGTCCTCCATTAAAATACAATTGGATGTCAAGCAATCTTCTGTACCCATGGCTTGAACCCAAGTACCTCAGTCCACATTAGTGTTATATGTACATGAGACTAATGCTGTACCAAACTGAACTACCAAAACACATATCACTAGTGCAGATAACTCTCATTCTGATCGTTATAATATCCACCTACTCAATCAAGCCTTATTCTTGCATCTACAACACAACTTGGCCACTTTAAACATACATGCAAATCTTTATGTGGAGTGAACTCTGAGTTTTAATACCTTCAACACGTGTCCTATATTTTTACTGTCTGCAGAGTTCTTTATGAAATGTCTTCTGGATTTATGTATTTCAAACCTCTAACAATCTTGAAACCCCTTGTGGTATTCATGGATAGAACCAATTCCCCAAAAAATGTCAGATAGAATATTTTGCAATAACTGTGTGTGTGTGTGTTTTTATAGCAAAGCCATATTGGGCTGTCTGCTGTGCTATCCACTGAGGATAATCAAACCTTCGATTTTAGTGTTGTAAATCCATAGACTTACTGCTGTCTCACCTGTGAACTCTACAATAACAGCAGAGTTTGCCCAGAAAATTTACAATGGTTTTTGTGAGAGAGACAGTTAGACTGATATTTCTCTATAGTGTGTAAATAATGAACCTGGCACATTTGGAACAAATTAATATAATCTTCATTGAGACAATAAAGAGAAAAGCAGTAATCATACCAACTGGTGTTTAATAATGGTTGGAGATGGCTTGAATGGGTAATGAAGAAAAACGTTAATATAAGTTTAACATAACAGCAAATGTACAACATTTCGACAAGGTTTTGTCATCATTATTAATCTCAAAGTGGGTACTTTGTCATCGAATTTGAAACTGGTGTTTAGTCTTACCACCTCCTCTATCTCAGGGATGAATGCTCTAAAATTAAACAGGATAATCCCCCCAAAAAGAAAGCATGCCCTTCTTGTGAGTTGATTAATGGAGAACTGAACCAAGACAACATGCTCAAACCTAGAATTTTAACATGCTTTAATTTGTCCAGTGGATAGCATCACCTTGTGACCTCTATTCCTTGAGAGTATTTGTTGACAGTCGACACCAACATTGCCCAGCAAAAGATATTCCAATTTTAACCAATCATTCAACCAAGATGCTTTATTTAATACTGAAATATCCATGTGGGCAGAGGAGATGTTACCTACTAAAAATAATGAAGTAACTAGAACAAAGTAATGTTAGCAACTTTCTGTACCATGAGTTGCTTCATTGATAGTGCTGAAGCTATATAGTTATAAAAATTGGAATGATTTCTATGTCACTATAGAAAGTATACAACACATGATATTCCTACATATCACACCTCTAACATCCTGCTGATCCCTTCTCTTCTCCAATGAAAACATATCAAGAGTTTTCAATCTATCCTTGTACATTAACCCTCAAAATCTGGAGTCATACTGTTAGCTGTGCTCTGAACTCTCTTAAATATGATGACCATAACAGAACACAATCCATATAGGGTCTAAACAGCATCTTATACAGTGAACCAATGATCTCCTTTGATTTATATTCAGTATTTCTATGTGTACAATGAAAGTCCTGTTTACATTATGATTAGCCGATATACATTTTCCAGAAACCTATAGAGATTTTAGCTATCCTCGTATCTTTTCCCTCATCAACTTCACCTAGAGTTTCCCTAACAAGACCATAAGAGTAATTAATGTGATGATAAGCAATATATTAAGATTGAAAGGTCTCTTCCAGGTGTTAGCTCAGCTGAGTAAATAGTGTAAACTTCTTCAACAACTGAGTCAAAGATCTGCACAAGTGATTTAATTAACCATCTGCTCAGTTCATATAGCAATAGTGATAAAATGATTACTACCTGATAACCAGAATAAGGATTCAAGACATTTAAGAAATCTGTTGTAATCAAAGTTTGAGCCCAGGTTCCTTGGTTAATCCTAGTGCTCTGTACTCTGCAACTAATATTATATAACTTCTCAACTTAACCACTACAGTATCAGTATGTAATGCACCATTTCCAAAAACTCAGTATAGATAAGTCTAACCTAAACATTTTAAATATCAAAAGGATATGGTTAGGAAACTGATTGTACAGCAGCATGTTGATACAATTAAGGGCTCATAACTTTATATTGTTTATGTTTTGTAGATTTTTGGTAACATTTAAAATCATCTAAATTATGGTGATGGCTTTATGTCATCTGCCCTCTCTTCAAATATTTCAAGCAAAATAAACCTATAGTCATATTCACAATAGCTGCTTTAGCATATGTTAGTTAATTACTTGTACCTTATGACTTTTTTTTTTCTTAAATAATAGAAAGTTCTACATAGCGTATATGTGTTGTGGGACAGAAAATGAAAGAGATTCAACTCAGAATTAGTAAAGATGCTCTGTCTTCTTTCTCATGTCTTTCATATTTGGTCTTCAGTTTTATTATGCAATATCTGTGGCATATGTAGAAAAATGATCATTTAGAATTCCTGTCTTTTTTAAAACCTACCTGATTTAATTAATTTTTATGTTTCAAGAACTTAACTTGAAATTGTTTGTTTGTTTTTTGAATTTCGTGCAAAGCTACATGAGGGCTATCTGCACTAGCCATCCCTAATTTAGCAGTGTAAGTCTAG